GAATAAGGATAATACTCAATAACGAATTCTCCCGAAATTTATGACAAGCAGAGATTGCAGCATTCAGGTTGACCCTGGAAATGCAGATGGCGAAGATGCGATGGAATCTAAAAGCCTTTTTAAAAAAAAAAAAAAAAATTGGGCATGACTTAGCGACGCAAACGTACTACCGTGTGGATTGCCCATAAAATTCGACAAAACTTACATCACTTCGTTGTTCCGGATGATTTTCACTGCTACGTGTAAATTGCTTCGTGCTGCATCCGTTGCACGAACCACATTTCCGAATACCCCGGCACCAGTGTAGCCATAGACGCGATAACGATTATCAAGCATCTCACCGATACGAACCCCTGCATATCAAACGGAAATAGATCAAAAAGAGACATATAGAACGAATTTTAAAGATAAAAAAGACAACATTTCTACGGTGAACGAATTTCGCAAAATTATGCTTTCCCGATAAGCTAACGCATTGGCGGGCCCAGGAGGTGTGGGGCCGGGGGAGGGAGGGTCTTTTGTTCCCCTCTCCTCCAAGGGTTCAGGTAGCAGCTGTTTTACTACAGAAAAGTCTGTCTGATACTCCGTGAAACACACCCCCCCCCCAAGTCGTCATTGCAGTTTGGGGTCGGCTAACGGTTGAGGAAGAGGTGTAGCGGAACGGTCGAGGGGAGCAGCTGGGTCCCCAAAGGGGAGGGGAGGGGAGTGTAGCGGGACGACTGTGTGGTGTGGTAGGACAGCGGGGTGCTCGACGGGGAGAGAGGGGAGGTGGGATGGCCGACTGGAAAGGGGAAGGGGCGAAGGTAAGGCTTCCCCTGATTGGAAGGGGGAAGAGGCTTCCGATGTAGTGAGGAACGGGGAAAAGGGGGAGGAGGATAATAAAAATCGTTCCCCCCCCCTTTCCAGGAGATCGCCCTGGATCCGCCTATGAGCTACCGTGGATTACACAAAAAAGCAACGGAAAAACGAAACTCACTGTAATATCCATCCGTATCGTCCCAATTATCTTTCAGCGATGCATTGGCTGCATCTTGCGCAGAAACTATCACAGCAGCTTTTTGCAACACCTACAATAGAATGGGCTTAAAAATGTGCCCAGAATAAGAGAAACAACAGATGGACAAAGCGAATTCTTCGTAAATAAGCAATGCTAAATGAATAATCACCGTGGCCCGTCAAGGATCCGGATATGATTCATATCTCATTTATCTTCAAATAAATTTTACAAATATTTTTACATTAAAAGGCTACTGGGTTTCTCAAAAGAAACAGTCTAAAACAAGCCAAAAACAAAAAAAAAGATTCGTATTTTTCCCAGAATTATCATCAAGCGAAATTATAAAAAAATTTGCAAAAAAACACCTCAGGTGGGAGTTCCGCATCCGTAGCAAACATATCAAATGTAGCAGCAGCATTTGTGCTTTCAGCATCTTTGTCCTCTTGTTTTATATCCTCATCTCTTTTTTGTCTTACATCCTCACCACGCTGCCTTCGTTGCTCCTCGGCTTCTTCTTCTGCTGCTTTTTGAAGTGCACGATCAACTGCAGATTCCTCTTGACCCTAAATTCAATGCTGTTTCACTGCAAAAAAATCAGAAAACTTCTAAAATAAGTGTAAAAAAATATGCAAAAATCTACGTATTCAAAATGCATCGCAAAAATGTATGCTAAAAAATATGCAAAAAAAAAAGAAAAAAAATCATTCCCAGTCCCCCCCCCCCCCCCCCCCCCCCCCCCCCCCCCCCCCCCC